GTGGGAGCAGCCATGTGTGTCCCACCGGCTTTCAGCACGTGGGAACTACAAGAGAAAAACCCAGCTCCGGTATCTGCGCTTTGGGCAGTGCTGCAGATCCACGGGGAAGGGTTTTGATTTCCCCAAGCACCGCTCGGCACGGCGCAGGGGCAGCCCGGGTTGTAGGTGCCCTCCCCCAGACCTTCCCCCAGCATAAACTGGGAGCTGCTAAGTGCAAATCAGAGCAAATCGAAGGTTTCCTGTTGTTTTTGATGGGAACTTCGCCACGGCTCTGCCGGGCTTCCTGCAGGGCCCGGAGCGGAGCTGGGGGCTGCGGGCAGGGTTCGTGCCACGTAGCAGCCCGGCAGGAGACAGCGGGGTCGGGCACAGTGCGGGGACGAAACGGCAGCGGGGCCGATCGCACCAACCTGCCGTGGTCTGTCATGTGCCAGAGAAGCTCGAGGCATCGTCAGCCGAGCAGGGTTGACATGGGCTGTGGCTGGGAAGACCTCGGAGGAATCCCTTGATGTGGCAGGAAACAGCGATGCGTTTCCTAAATCCTCAGCACTGGGATTCATGTGATGGGGTAAATGCTGCCTTTCATTTTTTGGGGAAGAGAGGCTGTCTAGCAGCCAGGCTGTGGAGCCGATACTGGTTAAGATTAGCACGGTTTGGTTTAATCCGTTTATATATTTTTATTTTAATGGCTGGAATTGATCTAGTTGCAGACAGCATTTTATTACATTAGGGTTTACGTAAGGGTTTATTGCACTTCGTGCCATGCTCATGAACACGAGGAGGCAGCGTCTGCAAGTGTATCTTTGAGCCATCACTAAGTCCCTCGGTGAAATAATTCCGGCTATTCGCTGGCAAAGACTTGGGACAAAAATCCATGGTTTGCACCGTGCTTCTGAGCTCTGCAGGGGCTGGGCTGCCTGCCTGCCTCTCCAAACTGCCTGCTTTGAGCCACTTTCGTAGAATTTCGTGCAACTCTGCAAGAATCAGGAGCATCGGAAGGCTGGGAGCTTGGCCAAAGCCGGCTTCTCGAGGCTGAAGGCAGAGCGGCAGTCTGTGCCGACCCGCCTGGCCCGGCCGCGTGGGGTGCTGGGTTGTTGTCCGGCCAAGACAAGGGAATCTGCTGGGGATGGCGATGTGATGGTGTGGGTCGGGCGTGCGGCTGCGCTGCTGGGGAATCTCCCGGCACCTCCAAGGATGCTTTTGGGTAACGCTCATGGTGAGCCCAGCTCATCCTTCTGCCCTCGGGCTGTTTCCCACAGGTGCAGGAGAAGTGCGACTATGATCTTGTCATGCCCCTGGCTCTGCTCTTCTACTACGCGGTCCTGTATGTAAGTCCTGAGGCTGCTGCACGTAGCTCGATCCCAGCCCCCGGGGAGGCACGGGGTCCGGGGCCCCGCGGAGCCACGCAGGACAGTCGCTGAAATCAGGGTGGCTTTCGGCTGAAACATCATGGTCTGCTTTGATCAGTTAATCTCAAAAAAAGTTCCTGTACGAAACTACAGGAATCAAGACCAGGCAACCGTTGCACAAGCTGAGACAGGAAAAAAAATGAGCTTCAGTGTTTTTAATCTTTTTATTTAAAGATGGGCTAATCAGCAAGGGAGACAGACAGTATCTCTGTGCAGAGAAGGCAAATTTTTTTTCATCACCCTTTTATACTTGTGCAAAATACATAGGCAACGCTAATGAAAAGAAAGAGCGGAGCCTTCACAGGAAATACTTTTTTTATTATTATTATTAGCACAATGCATCATTATCCCAAGGAAATCATTGCTGCCAGATCTTGCAAAAGCACAGGCTGTTATGCGATTCATCTGTGTGGATCTGGGGTTGTTAAAGAGAAATTTATATATAGGCTTTGGCACATGAGCCACAGGCGGGAGGCTGGGAAGGTGCAGAGCGGATGAAGCTTTCCTGGAGCTGTGCCCGGTGGGGATCCTTTTGACCCTTCCTTGGGAGAGGATGGGGTGTCACAGGGTGAACCTCTGCTCCGATCCGTTTCTCCACTTCCAGCCTAAACCCTCAAGGTTTTACGCAGCGCTCGAGGCCCGCGTCCTTGCTCCCTTTCTAATCGGGTTTCCCCGTCCCCCACAGGCTCCCCACTTTCCGCCGGGCTGCGACCTGCTCCCGAAAGCCGCCAGCGTATACCACAGCTTCCTGACCTGGCCCGTGCCCTACTGCGACATCTTCCGCGAGCTGCTCACCTTCATCAGCGACGAGCTCAGGGCCCCCGGTAAGCACTCCCGCCCCGCCGCGGCGTTTCCATGTGCTGCTGCGACCGCCCCGTGTTTGCTCCCGAGACTCTCCTGGGGGTTCTGTCTCGTACTCCACTTGCTTCGGGAATCCCTTGAGCGTGGTGTCCACCTTTACCTTGTGCATCCCACACCTCAGGTTTTCCAGGAGGTGAGGACCTCTGCCCTGCATCCTCTGGGTGATTTTTCTCTGGTGGTCCAGCACAGGGTGAGACCAGATTCCTCTGGAGGAGCAGGTGGGATTGTGTTTTCAGTGGCTGCCTTGCGTGCAAGGTGGTGGGAGCATCCCAGGGACTTTCAGCTCTGGACCAGTATGAATTAGCAAAACCTGTGACTATTTCCTGGCTGCCTTTTGGCGTGAGGGGTCTTTTCCGTGGCAAAGCACGTGCTGGCTGCTCCCGCCCGGCCCTGGGCTTTCTTCGGGATGCTCAGTGGTGTAACTGGGGTGATAACAGGGGTCCATTCATCGGCATCAGGTGGCCGGAGCCTTCAAGCGTGCCCTTGCGTGGAGATTTCCATAGGGCTGAGGGACTCCCCGGCTCTTTCTTTACAGCCGGACACTATCTTGTGATACGGCTTTGGGCACATCTGTTGGCAGCAGCAGTGCTCCTCTTAATTAAGGGCTCCTTGTAGATGTCCTGTTGTTCCCAACGGAGCAGCTCTTCCAATTATTTCTAAAAGGCCATTCCTCCTAATCTCCCTGTCTTTTGGTGGCTTGCGGAGAGCTGTTATCACACGGAGCAGATTTCAGCCCTTGTTTAATCCTGCGCAGGGCCATGGCAGCGAGACCGGCTCCGAGTGGGACTTGGGAGGCCTCAGATGGGTACGTGGGCTGTGGCCGAGGCTGGGGATGCTTCCCCGCTTCCTCAAACCAGGCGGCTGCTTTGGAGAGGGACGTGAAATGCAGGGTCTCCATCACGGCAGCCACGTCCTGCAGAGATGGGGGCTTGTAGATGCAGATGGGATGAAAGATGCTTTCAAAGGAACAGATTAAAAAAAACCTCAGCCAAACCCTGTGCAGTGTTGGCACTGGACTGGCTGATTTACCCTCAGCTCAAGGCTTCACCAGCATAAATGGCCACGGCCACCAGGCACGGTCTGGCCGGGCTGTTGTGCTGCATCCAGCCTCCAGCTCAGAGCTGCAGGGCCAGCACGGACGTGGGGACACCCGTCCCATGCTGCTGCGGCCGTGGACTTCCCTTTCTGGTCACTTCTTGCTGCGACACTGGTCAGGGCCGTGTTTTACAGACCGCTGGGAAAGCCCCAGTGCTGGGCAGGGGGTTCGCTATATCCTGCTTCTGTGCCATCGCCGCCATCCCCGGTGCCTGGGGCTGTGTGAGCCGGGGACTTCAGTCCAAAAATTTTTCCCCTCCTACAAGCATATGAGATTCCCTAACCCCAGCCAAAAGATGCCGTGTGGGAGGTGTTGGTCTGCCAGGGCTGGGGAGCCCAGTGCTGCCTCTCACCGTGGCCTCTCCCCTCAAATGGAGCCAAGAACAGAGAATATGTGTCCTCTGCTGGTAAGCTGGCCAGGACCTTGTACACTTGTTGCATGGCCTCCGTGACGGGCTGCCAGGCTGAAGCTAAAGTTTTTTATTGAGATGAGGGTAAATATTAACTGAGAACAAGCTGCTGACAATATTTGCCAAGAATGCAATAGCTTTTATCTGCAAACTGGGGCTGATGTCTCTGCAAGAGGGTGAATGTTCATGTAATCGGGGGGTCTGTGTTGATCAACATGAGCTGCCCATGGGTGCTGGGCCTGCTGTGGGTGCTGCTTCTCAGCTGCTGATGTGGGACCATCATTAGGATGTGGCTGCTTGCAGGAATAAGGGCACTGGGTCTTGTTGACGCCATAAGATCTCTCCCAAAATGTACCCCAGTCCTTCTGCCTCTTGGGAGTGACACAGGCTTTGCTGTTGCCACCCAGGCCGGGTCCGTCAGACATTGCCTGGTCAGGGTTCCCGGTGGCAGCCCTTTCTGTCCCAAGGCTCCCTTGCTCCTGGGCTGGTCCTCTCGCACGGTGCTTTGTCCCCACAACGTTTGGTGCTGCCATGCCTGCTCCAGTCTGCGGCTCAGCCAGGACAGGACCACAATAGGAGGCAAAGTCGATGTGCTCCTGAAGCAGAGCAGTCTGCGGTGGTGCCATGTCTCCTGTCCTCTGCTCTCTCCCTAGGGATCTCCTTCCAGAGGCTGGTGAGGACGGAGCAGGGGTTGCCCGTGAAGAACTACAAGAGCTCCACCGTGTAAGTGTGGCCATGGGCACTGCTGGCATCTCTCTCTGTAGCATCCCCACCATCCCATGCCGCTTGAGCAGCCGTGGGGCTGCAGCGAGCAGCGTCTCAAAGGTGTAGCGGTGGGTACCAGGGAGAAGAGCTGGATAGCTGGGCTGAGCTGTGGGAAGGCATGAGAAAAGTGCCTGTGGCCTTTCCACAGCCGTGGGTCAGGGTCTGTGGGCTCCCCATGTGAGTTATCCCTGCAATGAGCAGGGCTGCAGATCGGGGTGAAAACAGCCGGGGAAGGCAAAGCCTCCTCCGCTGGGAGCTGCTGATCTCCGCATGGGCTGGAGAACAGCCAGGAGACGCTTTGATCTGCGTGTTTGGGAGCCACCAGCCCGAGGGGGGACAGAAGTGAGTCCGTCCCAGGGTGAAAGCCTCGCAGCTCTGAGCGTAGTCAGACTTTGCACCTTATTCGAGGGCTGAACCTTTCCTCCTGCCACGGCACCTCATTTGTAAATAGGAAAATGAGCCCGGATGGTGTGTGTGCCCTTCCTGGCTGCAGTGCCAGCCCCGGCCCCGGGCACAGTCCTTCATCCACAGCCACCTCCACTCCGTGCAGGAGGGGTGTCCCGCTCTTCTGGCTTGTCCGCTCATGCCGTGCAGCTCTGGGTCTGCGCCTGTATCCCACCCAGCTGGGCTGGTGCTGCGGTGTTGCTTTCACAGTACAGCTCCCCTGCTCTACACACTTACACTGGTGCGAGTGCAGCCACTGGGGACTTACAGCACGGTGGCTCTACTTGCATAAAAAGCCCTGAAAACCTGGCACAAAGCTGTATGCAAGCTGATCCTTGGGCTTATTGAAAGCTTATGCCCATTGCCTGAGCTTTCTAGAACCAAGCGTGCCGGAGCACATCCTTAATTTAGAGACGTTTTTGCTCAGTGAGGTGGACTGCTCTCGCCGGTGAATGTAAGCGCGTGCCTACGTGCTCTCTGGACTGCAGGTTTGGGAATTCAAAGCCTGTGGATGTTCATTACGTGGTCCAGAGCAAAAACGCAGCTGAAGGATATGGCTCTTCTCCTTAAAGCCCAGAAGTGATGCTGTGACCTGCACCTTGCAGGGGGAGATGTTTTGGGGGTCCCTCTCATTTTCTACCTCACCCTGCTTCATCATATGTGCTGGATGTCCAGTTTGGACAGTGGGTTGCGGGCTGGAGCCCTGGTTGAACAATTATTGGGCCGATGATATTACAGATGCGGCAGAAGAGATGGTGCCGGGCTGTGCCGAGGGCGGGATGGAGGATGCTCATCCCTTACCCGCTCCCCGCCCCTGGCTGGCACTGCAGGCCTGGCACCCCTGCACAGCCCCGCGGCCCTCCGCCTGTCACTGGCGTGAGGGGACACTGCCATCTAGTGTGAATTTGTCCAAGAATTTCGTGTGTCGCCAGCATCCGAGGCTGGCCTAACCGCCGTCCCCTTGTCCCCAGGACGGTGCTGCTGCTCAACCGCTCCGAGGTGCAGAGCGAGTTCCTCTCCATCGCTGAGAAGCTGAGCGCCAGCGAGCACCCGCAGCGTGCCACGCTCGCCGTGCTCCTCGAGCACCTCTACCAGGCCAACTTCGGCACCCGCTGCGACCTGGACAGCCTGCACCACCTCCTGAAGGTAGGCTCCGGGAGCTTCAACTTCCGTGATGCCAACGATGCCGTTGGGACCAGTTTCGTGCAGTTGGCTGGTGCATTTCCTGACCAAAATAATACTTGACTGACAAAAGAAAAAAGTTTTGATAACGCTTCTTCTAGGAAAACTACACATCTTTTCCTTCTCTCCTCGGGTTAGACCTGAGGTCTATGCTTCTCTTTTGTGAAGTGTGGCAGGGATGTGACTCCCCTTTTACCCTTTTTCTCCTTCCCCCATCCCTAAGTGAAGAGAGGAAGAACCCCTGGATTTGAAATGCAGCAAAAGTGTTTGTTTGACCAGAGAAACATTTTGCTTTGGTGTTTGGGGAGAGGACAAAAACTTGTGAAGAAAATCCCTTAGGTTGTTCAAACACATTTTTTTTTATTCTTTGCAGAAGTTTTGGGGGGACTTGAAGGGAGTGGGAGGTAGAGGAGGGAGAGATTTGCCCAGTGGTGTAGTTAGTGACCTTCCCCAAAGACCTGTGCATTGCCTCTGCGGAGGGACCCCGCCTCGATCTCTCACATTGGCTCTGAGACACTGGAAGAGCTCTCGGAGATCTACGCCAGCGCCGCCGACGCACAGGAGATTGCGGCCGCCAGCAGCGACCCCGTCCCAGCCCGGGAGCGGCTGCAGTCCGTCCTGCGGGACATTGCCGGGGACGCGTCCTTTCCTGCCATCGCAGGTGAGAAGCCCTCCCGTGCCCCTCTTTCCTCCAGGGTTTTCTACTGTGCAGCCGCTGCGGCAGCGACGAGCTCCCCTGCGCTGCGGGAGCTGGGAGCCAGCCCTTGGAAGTGCAAAACCCTCTTTTGCACAAAGCTTCAACCTAGTGCAACAACAATTACAACCAAAAAAACCACCAGCCCAGCTGCTATTTCATGACCATGTGATGAGCCAGAAATTGTTTCTCATCTTTCATGAAAACAGCAACAAAAAACCCCCAAACATTCTCCATCCTTTGTGGGTGAGACGAAAACATTAAATCGGAAACCGATGGCAGCAGTGACGTCTGATGGCTCTTAGAGGCGTGAAATGTCCCCTTATCCCAATTGCGTGTGACTTCACGGGGGTAATGACAGCGGTATCAGTGCCCTGGGCCACCCAAAACAAGTGCACGGGGTGGGCGGCATCTCCCACCAGCCAGGGGAGCTGTCAGGAGCGGTATCGGGGTTCCCTGCAAACTGACTCCTCTCCCTCCTCTCTTCCCAGGCGAGGCGCAGCCCCGCAAGCTCCACACCATCCCCATCCCCGCTGCTCGCTGCTACACTTACAGCTGGGATCAGGACAACTTCGGTAAGCGGAGGGGGGCCCCCGTCCCCCCTAGTGAGACCGCAGCCCTCTGCTCCCCATCGCAGGGGTGGCTGAGCAGCGTTTCAGCTCCGCCGGCACTGCCTCGTGCAGCCGGGCGTGCGGCACAAGCTGCGGCCAGAGCCTGGAAGAGTTGGTAACAGACTGGTGGTGGTGACAGGAGAGATAATGCAGTGGGTGCTGGTGTCCCCTGGACGGGAGGGGACATGGGTGTCAGCTTGGGCATGATGTCTGTGGTGACCCTGAGCAGAGCCCTCATCCGAGCTGTGGGCACGAGGCACTGGTAGCCTCCACGTTGTGTTGACGGAGACAGATCCTGCAGGGCTTGATCTCCAGGGCAAAGTTGCGCCTTGCGTTAAGCTGGGAGAGGTTCGTCGCACCCACGTCCATGGAGATATTGGTAGGACGGAGACGCTGTGTTGGAGAAAGCTCCTCTGCAAGGAGTAAACCCTGCTGGAAATAATTGTTGCTGGAAAAGCCTGACTGCACTGAGATGTCGGGGCTTTGTGGGGTTGAGGCCCCTGGGATGTTAGCAGCTCTTCCCCCACCCGCAGCAGGGATGGCCTGGGAGCGGATGCCTTTGCCGTGCTCTTGGCTGGGCTGCAGCAGTTTTTCAGGGGAAACGGCGGCTTCCCCTTCTGCTGAGCTGGTCTCTCTGGCTTCCCCATTCCTGCAAGACCTTTTCTGTTCCCATGAATGTTTAGTATTCGTTGCCTGCTGGCCCCAGCAAGCTGGACGAGAGCTCTGGCTTGGGCTTTTCAACGAGTCTTGCCGGGAGGCCACCCGCAGTGGGGTGATTTGGGGTTTGATTATCAAAATACCTTGCTTTCCTCCTGCCCTCCAGTTAAACCTGGATCAGACACGGGCAGATTGTGAAATCTGTGTAGGAAGGAAGCAAAACCCCAACTGGTGTTTGCCTTTCGAGAACCCAAACAGAATGGGACCTCAGGGAGAGAAACACATTTTGTTTCGCCATTGCATCTGAGCACCTTATGGCAATCTAAAAACCTTCAGGAGGAGGTTTTCAGCTCCTTGTTTGAAACTGTGCAGGACCATCGAGCGCTGGCCACGCTGTAGTAGTGTCGTTGTCTGGGGTCATCACGTTTCCAGCAGCTGTGCTGGATCCTGTACCAGACCCGATCTCCCTCCGCTTGCCTTTCAGATATCCTCAACGATGTCCTCAGCAAGGAGTGCAGCGTTGTCGAGTCCATGGCCTCTGAGAACGAGGAGGAGGACGAAGAGGAGGAGGAGGTGGAAACTGATGGCTGTTCCCCCGAGCGGGACTCACTGCTTTCCCCCATCTGCGCCATTTCCAAAGACTCTGTGTACTCGGCGCTGTCAGAGGAGGGATCTAAGCCCTCGCGAGTGTCCCTCTTCACCACCTCCAAAGACTCCATCTCGGAGCTGACAGTGGTCTCCAGAAAGTCCCTGAAGTCGTTTGTCTCCAGCCTGAAGGACTGCATGGACAGCGGGTACGCGGAGGACAGCGACGAGAGCTCCCTGGACACGGTGGGGAGGCCTGAGCTGAAGGTAGAGAAGACCCACCACAAATACAGACACACGCTGACCAACAAGATCTACAAACTGTTCAAAAGCAAAAGCCAACTGGTCTTGAGGAGGGACCTGAAGGACTGCCCGGACATGGGCTCGCTCTCACTGCCCCTGCGC